TGTGTATGTGTATGTGTATGTGTATGTGTATGTGTATGTGTATGTGTATGTGTATGTGTATGTATATGTATATGTGTATGTGTATGTGTATGTGTATGTGTATGTGTATGTGTACTGACTATGTATATGTATATGTATATGTATATGTATATGTATATGTAGATGTATGTGTATGTGTGTGTGTGTGTGTGTGTGTGTGTATATATATTATGGAGTAATATATAGCAATAAATATTAGGCATTGTATACCCTAAAGCCTTAAGGCAGTGACTGAGGCGAGAAAGGCGAGCTAGGCGAACGCCTGAGGCAGTGATTGAGGCGAGAAAGGTGACCGCCTTAGGCGCGCCTTAGGGATCTCGCCTCGCCTGGCTTCCTTGAGGCGCTGAGAGCTCGCCTGGTCGCCTGAGGCGCCATAGGCGAGAGAGGCGAGCGCCTTTAATAACTATGGGTAGAAGCATGTCCTTTCGAGTAAAAATCTGCACAAACAGGTGTGAAATCTGATCCAAATCAGTAGCTCCAGCCTCTCAGTATCTCAGGTTTGGGCTTCAGTTTCCTTATCCTTTTTGTGTTCAAAGTTTGGTTTCTGATATTATAGTTTGCACAATGAGAAGTTGCACTATAAAGTCATACTTTTTTTTGCACAAGTGAATAGCCTATCCTTTCAAATCTGATTCTTGAGCTTATATGGTTAATATCTGCATAGTATGTGCAGAATTCTGTCTTAGACCAACTGTCTCAAGTACCTAATGGTTGCTTTGTTGAAAATATCACCTCTCGGGTGTTATAATATGGTCATATTTAAGCTGAAAATTGAGACATGTGCATTGTTTACAGCTGATTTTTGGATACTAAGGAAAAATTCTGCACTTTGAAAAGTTATTTTTGGACTTGTAAGCTGATTTTTTGAGTGCAAAATGCAAATTTTACACTTTTTACAGCTTATAGGTGCTGAAATAGGAAAAAATCTGCAATCTTTTCTTGGTGTTCAATCTGATTTTTGAGTTCATCCGATGCATATGTGCTGAATTATGATGTTTAATAGATGCATATGAGCTGCTTTGCACGTGCATGACATAACTAACCTTCTCATATGCAGCATTTTGTTTTGAAAAGTGCAAAAAAAGCACAAGAATTGGTTTCTAGAACCAAATTTGAAGCTTAAAATCTACATTCTTTAAATCTGATTTTTATCTCTTCAGAGCTAAAAAGACTTGGTCTTAGCCATGTTTTTGCAGATTTTGGGTCCACCGAACACATCAAGGAGAGGAAAGTGATAAATTGATGCTGCGTATACTTTTATTTGTTGAATTCCCCAATTCTCTTTGCTTATTCTCTTGGTTATATCATTATGATTTATTTGCATATCATATAGATGCATTGGGGACTATGCATATTTTAAGTGTGGGGGGAGTTGCTCATGCTTGTGTCATTGTTTTTAAAAAAAACTTTTGGGGCAAATTTTTTTTCAAAAAAAAAAAGGTTTTGGGTCCAAATATTTTCATTCTTAGTTGCATATCTCCTTATTTAGAGCATTGTTTTCAAAATTTGATCCAAAAACCTCATTGTTTTTCTTGGGGCTTAATTCTGAAAGATGGCAAGTGTATACTTTATAAATCTACATTGAGTCTTATGCTCTTTTCTTGGTAAAATGGCCCTTAAAATGTTTGAAATCCTTCTAGGAATCCCATAGAATTTTGTTTTCTAGAACTGGCCATCTACATATTATCTAGATGTTGCCTAATCAACCATTGCGTGATATTAAAATCTGAAGAAAAAAAAACAGAGAGAAACCAGTTTTAGGAGCCTTTTATTTTTAGAAAATTGTGCGATTTTTATATTTTTAGGCTTATTGATGAACCTTCCTACCGCTGCTATTGAGCCGCTCTAAACCATAGGATTCCTCTAGGAAACTTTTTTGTAGCAGCTTTAGAGCATTTGTTAGAACCCAAAAAAATCCACACCTTAGTTTTCCATCCTTTTAGGATTTCTAGCTCACTTTGTTTTTAAAATATGAATGAACATAAAGTCTTAAGTGTGGGAGTTTAAAGTTCACTTTGTTTCTTCTTGATGATGATAAAAATAAATAATATATTCCTTTTGGCCCTTGAACGAGGACGTTCAACTCTTAAGTCTGGGGGTATTTGATAACTCGGATTTGGGTTAATATTTTTAATTCTCTTTTTGGCATTTTTAGTACTTTTATTGTTTAATTTTCATTTGTTTAGCTTAGTTTTATTTTAATTCCTTTTATTACAAATCTTTTATTTCCAGTCAAAAATAGTTGTTTTTAATCTTTTTTTTACATGTTATTATTTTAATATTTTTATTTTTCCTAACCCAAGTTACCAGATATCTTATTTGTTTTGGAATAAATTGCAGTAAAAGGCCAAATTGAAGCTCAAGTTTGAAAAGAGAAGATTGAGTTTGGACCGGAGCCCAAACCCATCATCAACAACTCAATTAAACAAAGATAAGCCCAAGTCTCCTTCCCCCAAATTCAAACTCACGCAAAAAAAAAATGCTTCCTGCGATTGAAGCTAGCGCAAGACCAGGAGAGGAGCAGCGACCTATTCAAATCGGCAGTAACGCATCTCCTTCAACGTTCGGCCATGAATTGCTCTCCAAATCAAGTCAACAATGGCTCCTTGTTCTCTCTCTTCACTCAAAACGCTCCAACGGAAAAAAATTCCTCTCGTCTATAAATTGGACAAGGAATAGCAGCAGAAAGGGGGGAACGAACCAGAGAGCTCCATTCTTCAATTTCCTCATCTTCTTCTTCTATAGGTACCCAAATAAATTGGCTTCGAGACTTAATCCGGAAGTCAACCCTTTAAATTTTCAATTCTTTTGTTGTTTCTATGTTCAAGTGTTTTTTTTCCAATTTATCATATTTTTGTTACTTGTTCATGTAATAGAATCTGAAAAAAATATAACGGTTGGTGTTCTTTTGGGTGTGTGTTCTTGTTTTAAATGTTTATATATAATCCCTTATGAATGAGAATTAATTCTTTCTTATTTACTTCAATTATTGCACAAGTTGTTGTTAAATTGGTTGAATTGTTTCAAATTCATAAGTAGGTTTTATGTAGAATTCGGTTTTTGTTGAAGCTATTTTAGCTCCATAAGATAGTTAAATGAACTCCGAATTCATACGTGTTTCTTTGTTGTGCTTGTCTTCGTTGATTTTAAGGATTTTGGACTTCTTAGCCCCATAAGTTGATTCATTTTCCTTAGAATTCGTTATAAAGTGATTTTGTTATGTTATATGTTTGTTTTCCATTTTCTTTAAATTGAGATTGTTTAAGTGCAATAAACAAATCTTTATTTATTGAAAATACGTTGTGTTCTTCTACGTGAATAGAAAAAACGTCATTGGTTTGAGAAGTTAATGGAAATCTGTGAAATGTGCTCATCATTAGGAGAAAAAGTTTATTAAAATACATAAGGTATTGGCGGTTTGTGAATAGATTATGTATGAGAGTTGAATGCATAATAGATTCTCTCTTTTATAAACTTTTTCTATAGTGGAAGTATGTTTTAATGCTTGAATAGAGAGTTGGGGTTCTAAGGTATATTTCAAAACGGGCCTTTGAATTGCATGACTCTGGGCCGTGTGGAGAGTTGACAATCCTCCATATCGTGGTTAAGGAAATGAATCGACTCGGCCTTTGATTGTTTTTCCTATTCTTAAGTGCATAAGTTACGTAATATATTGTCTACGTGCCTATTATACGTGTAATGTTCGATTTGTGTTCGTTTTTTTAATTTTGTTTCGGGTCTTGGCGGTGTTTTTCGGGTTACCTCGGTTGAAGAAGTTGATTATCTTTTGAGCTTGTTTTTCCCCATTTTATAAAAAAGAACCAAAAAAATAAGAAAATATAAAAACCAAAAATATTTACTTTTTATTCAACCCCCCCCCCTCGTGTTTCAAGTTATAAATATAAGTTTTTATACCTTTTTTTAGTATATCTTAAGTATGTGTTTTATGTTTTTAGTTATATTATAGTTTTTTGTTTATATAAGTTATATTTATAAGTTTTTAAATTTATTTAGTTATAAGTTTTATTATAAGTTTTATAAGTATTATCATTTGTGTAGTAGTTTGTTTTTTTTATATTTATTTTCGTGACAATGTGTTTGCATGCTAAATTGGTTTTAAAAATTACAACATTTCTCCGTGGGATCGACCCTTACTTGCCCTAGCTATAGTTTTTATTTGATTATATATTGGGGGTTAGCTAAGGATACTTTATAAATTTTTAAATTGTTTTGGATCGCACGACAAGTCCTCAACAATTTTACTTACTCAAATCATTTTGGATGGTAGGGAATAGATACGAACAATTGGCTACAATCTCTAGTAGAGATGCTTACCAATGGTGTTTAGGAGTCCAAAGCCCCCATACAGTCAAGCTTTATGGCATCACGGACATCAATTTTTCTTTTGTATCTCGTTGTATCTTTTGGATTTGTGTAAAATCTTTGAACTAAATTGGCACTTAAGTCAACTTTGTAAAATTAGAACTATTGTACTATATTTGTTGATTATATATAATGACAATTAAAATGATGATATGAAGGCTTATTATTTCATAGAACATAATGTTTGTGTTCTAATAACAAATAGAGGACATGAATTTGAAAGTATCAATATGTCATCTTATTGATTTAAGACTATTCTAATAGCGTTTTTAGGACACACAAATAGTGTCCTAATATAAAAAAGAGGACACATGTTGGATAATATGATGATACATTTTAGGTGTCTTGTTATTGATATTAGGACACACCTTTTGAAGAAATTTTGTGTCCTCGTAAAGAAAAGAGGACACATTTTATGTGTCCTTATTTTATACTTACTATGACTCTGGGATAGAGGACGCATTGGTTAAGTGTCCTAGTATATAATAGATGACTTTTTTTTCGTGTCCTTATTTCCCTGTTTTCGTGTAGTGTTCCCTTGTGTTTCCTTCTTGCTGTTGTGGAAGATAGTCCACGTGTATCTTGAATAGTCATCAACTACTACTAAGACATATTTCTTTCCACTTAGACTTATTGGAGTAACAGGTCCAAATAAATCCATGTGGATAAGACTTAGTATCCTTGTAGTTGAGTGTGCCGGTTTCGGCTTGAAAGTGGATTTGACTTGTTTTCCTTTTTGACAGGCATCACAGATGTTTTCCTTCTTGTACACAGCTTTGGAAAGACCTTCCACTAACCCTTCTTTGGACAGCTTGTTGAGGGTTTTGAAGTTAAGATGATTCAACCTCTTATGCCAAAGCCATAGAAGGTTAGTGTCACCTTTGCTGATCAGGCATGCTTCCTTGACATCTTCCCACATTAATTCGTAGATGTTCCTTATTCTATTCCCAGTGAGAATGACTTTATTTGTGGAGATGTTCTTGAGGGATGCCATGTCCTTACAGAATTCTAGAGAGTAACTTTTATCACAGAACTGGCTTATGCTTAGAAGGTTATAGTTGAGACCTTCCACATAAGATAGAGCCTGGATGGTTAATCCCTTGTACACCAGATTTCCTAGCCCCTTTGTAAGGCCGAAGTCATTGCTTCCTCCAAAAGTAACTTTTGGACCATCATAGGGAATTAGATTGCTCAAAAGGCTCGTATCACCTGTCATGTGTCTTGAACAACCATTGTCTAAGTACCAGACACCTGGGTACTTAGTGGCTTCCTGCATTAGGTGGAGGAAGATTTTGGTACCCAATTCAGTTTGGGTCCGGAATAGTTAATGGTGTGTGTCCCCACATCAAGTTTGAAGTTGCAGGGAATTTTCCTTGGAGCCCTAAACTTGTTGGGATAGTTTTGTGTTAGAATAAGAGACTAACGCTAGAGGGGGGTGAATAGCGTTTGATAAAAAATCGCAGGAATAAAAAATGAATAAACGAGAAGTAAAGAGAAGAGTAAGAGGCGCACCGATTTTACCCTGGTTCACCACAACTTGTGGCTAATCCAGCCTCCCGAGAGACTCTCTCGAGCTACACTACTACCTCGTTAAGCTTAACGGTGCTTAACAAACCCGTACAACTTGAGAATTCGAGTCACACGAACCTCAACGAACCTTCGAAGGAAACAGCCCTTCCTTCGAACAACAAGAGAAATACCTTCTCTTGTCAAGTGTTTAAGAACACTAAAAANCTCTCTTTTAGAGTGGATAATGAGTAAACTAAGAACGCTCAAGAACACAACACAAGCTTCACAAAAAATGGCTCTCAAAAGCTATGAATAATTGAAGAATGATTTGCAATGAAAGAGTAGGAGTTGTGAAGTAATGTGATGTGTAAAACAGACCCAAACACCCCATTTTATAGTAGAAAAATAGGCTCCAACGGACCAAAGTATTTAAGGGGTGATTGGCACAATTTGTGGGATTTCATGAAAATTGGATCTGTTGAAATTCACCCAGACAGCGCTGTCCTAGGCTTGGACATCGCTGTTCTAGGCTTGCGTTTTGAAAAATGGGAAGCAACGGTCATGCCAACAGTGATGTCTAAAATCCCTACATCGCTGTTTTGGCTGTTGACTTCCAAATAAGGAAAGTTTTAGCCTTAAATTCCTTCCAACGGTCAGGTCTCTACATCGATGTTCCATACTAGAACATCGCTGTTTAGGTCTGCCTTTGAAGATGGAAGTTTGGCCTGACAGCGCTGTTTCTGGGTCAACATCGCTGTCCAAAAACTTTCTGCCAATGCACAATATCTTGGGCTTAGGTTGGACAGCGATGTAGGGAAGCCTACATCGCTGTTCCAGAAGATTCTGGAAATCCAACCTTGGCTCAACAGCGATGTCTAATGTCCAACATCGCTGTTGGAGGACTTAACGCCAAACAATGTTTTTATCTACCCAAGTCAGACAGCGCTGTTGGTTACCTCAACATCGCTGTTGGGCTGGTTTAGCCATACCCATGGTTGATTTAGTCACGCCGTTAGCCGATGACAAAAACACAAGTTCTCCAATGTAAAAACCAAGTATTGAAAACATTTGTTTATTGCATTTCGCTAAGAAATCAAGTAGAACATTTTAAAAACCACGTCATTTACTTGAAAACCACGACTAACCAAGTTCGTGCCGTTTCGCATGGTTTTCACTAAACGACCAAAAACGGAAAGTGGTTTTTGAGGCGTTTTTGTTGGAGAACTATTTCAATATGCCCAGAAGTAAAAACAATTCATTAAAAGTTGAAAACCACTTGGTCGGTTCGAACGCCAAAAACCAACGCCGATAACCGAAAGCCGAACGCCGGATGGCTTGGTTTTTGGTTTGGGCAAACTCCGAGTGTTTTCAGGCAGGTTTAAGACTTAAGAAAATCATTTTGAGTATGCAAAAAATATTTTGATGAAATGAGCCTAGAGAGCCATGTTTTGATGGTTTGTGCCGGTCTTGATCACATTAAAACCGACTCAATATAATTCTAAGTCTTCGTTCTTGATTCTTGGTTCTTGGTTCTCAGTTCATCATGCCATGTTCCTTCGCCTTGGTTTTGCTCAGTTTAACCTTGTTATTGTCATGGCGGTTTGGCATTATCAAAACCTGTCATAAAACGAGCACGGCTTAGTACGACATAGGCGTAAACCCGTGTTCCAACATTTTGGGCATATAATTTCCTACGTGAAGGTGGTGCAAATTCCTGTTTCTTCCTAGCAAACTTAGGTTGGTGAGATCTATAGTTTTGTCTAGGTTGTGCATAGTGTGACCTGTGACGGTTGTAAGCATACTTAGGTGGAACAAATAATTTTTGGGGTGGAGGATGACTATATCTTGGCATAGTTCTCCACTCACTATTTCTCGGAAAACTCCTATCTACCCCAAAATGAGTATAGCCTCGTGTGTAGTGGGGGTTATAGGGTTTTTTTCTGAAATTGTTTCCTCCTTGAGGTATTTCGAGTTTCCTATTGTTTTTAGGAGGGACAACCTTTTTGGAACTTCTGTTGGTTTTTCCTTCTCCTTACCTTTCTGCTTATTGGGTTCGGCAATAGGTTTGGGAGAAATAACTGTTGTTCTCCCTTTCCTTTTGGAACTGGAGGGGTCAAACCCAAGTCCTTCACGACCCTTCTTTTTGGTCGTATTAAGAAGCTTATCCACAGCTTCTTTGACTGCAGTATCCCTAGCTCCTTGTTGAGAGTTTTTACCTTTTAAGAGAAAGATTCATTCTCAGCCTTGAGTTGAGTGATTTCACTGAGTAGACTTTTCCGACCTTCAGCCAACTTGAGATTCTATTCACTCAATAGCTTGTTCTCCTCTTTCAAAGATGAGTGTTTGAGATTTATTTCCTCAAAATCTTCCATCATCTTTTTGAACTTGTCAAGAAGACCTTTAGAGGTGGGTATGCTTTCATAAGAAGATGAGCAGGAGGTTTGTGAAGTTACCTCTTGATCAGCATCCTCTTTTGCCATTAGGCAGAGAGTGTCATCTTCTGACATTGTCCATTGATCTTCATGGTTGGACTTCTCAGCTCTGCGCTCTATGCAGACGAGGGTTTCCTCATCCAAACTTGAACTGGAAGACTCGTCACTTTCAGCTGCTACCATAGCCTTCTTCTTCTCGTTCCTTTCTCCTTCTCCGTATTCTCCACATTTGGGTACGGACAAGCTGACTTCCAGTGACCGGGTTTCGTGCAGTTATAGCATAAGTAAGATTCAAGGGGAGAGTTACTTACCTGTAGCTTTCCCTTGGATGGCCTTTTAACTGAGTCAGTTTTCTTGAAGAACTTATTGAATTTCCGGAATTGCTTGACCATCATAGAGAATTCCTCTTCGTAGTTTTCCGCCTTTGAGCTTGTTGGCTGGCTGGTGGAAGGAGGGTCACAGCTCTTTAGGCAAGTCCCTTCGCTTGCTGTGACTCTGGGATTCGTCATCAGTGCCATGGGAAAAGGGGTGACTTGTTATTCCTTCTTCTTCTTCTCCAGTGTTGGAACACAGGTTTTGTAACACCCTAATCCGTCCAGGTCTGCAGCCCCTTTCGGTTTCCTCCTCCTCGTCGTCGTCGTCCATCTCATCACCATTCCATCTCATCACCATCAACGGCATCGTCGAACTCGTCCTCGTCCGGGGAGCTCGACGGGTCATAGGAGGTATCGTCTTCGTCACCGTACACCTGCCCAAAGAACGTGCCATGGTACGGTGGGGGGACGTAGTTAACGCGTTGGAAGTACGCGTTCATGGCGTACCCTTGGCGTTGGACCGCCTCGTCAAGTCTTTCAAGGTAGCCATCCATCCCATCAACTTGATGGGGTCACTTTGGACTTTGCCCTTCGTGACGATGGTGGACAACTTCTAGCATTCGGGGATGGGCCCTTGGCTTACTGGTTGAATCTATGGCAAAAATAACTGAGCACCTGCCTTGGATGGATTTGATGGATGACACACATTTTGGATTCATCTTTGAAATACCTTGGATGTAGTTGATGGATCACGTGTTCGTGAGATTGAGTCCTTGGAAAGGGAGTATATGTGCTTTGCTTGATGCCACCAACATATACTCCCTCCATGCTCTGGTTTGGTCTAGCATATTACTGCTGGGTGATGCGGGGTACTGGAAGGTCCACAAGAGCCCGGACGGAGATTACTAGTTGTTGTGTTTGACCACTTTGATGATTGTTTTGACTGTTTATTTGTATGGCCTGCGTGCCAAGTTGTTGTATTGTTGTATTGCTGTTGTTTTGTTTTTGTATTCATTACATGAACAGAACCATTTCTATGGTTCAGCATATGACATTGATGTACCGTTTTTATTTGGGGTAATAATAATTTACATTTTACCCTTGAAGTGCAGCCGGTTGAGAGAGTGCGCAATGGAGGCAAGGTTGGCCCGGGTTTGGGGTTCGGCTGGGCCAGCAGCAGAACAGGGCCGTGGCACGGCAGTGGCAGGTCCGGCGTTGTCCGACCGCTTCTTGAAGGTTTTAGTACTGATCGCCCAAATCTTCGTGGCCTTTGTGAGTGGGCCAACGGTGGTGGTCACCTTGAACCGTTCAAGGATGTCCATCACCACGAACGGGTACGGGAGGAGGTGATCGTGGTCGGTGGACGCGGCAATCGTCATGTTGACCATGACAAACTTTGCCCAATTGATTGGGGCCGAGTGCATGATCGCATGGATGAGTTTGAGGTCTTCATCGGACATGATGGTGTGGCCGTGCTTCCTGGGTTTGATGATCCGGGAGACGATGTAGAGAAGAAGACGGCCTTCGGGGTTTGCGGAGTGGATGGTGGGGCGGCCCGAGGCATGGCGGATGAGCTCGGTGATGCCAACAATTGAAAGTTCTATCGGCGTGCTCTTGACAAGAGAATAGAGCACGTCGCCCTCACGCCAGAGGTTGGAGTAGAAGACCCGAATCAGCGCCGGGTTGATCTCCTTCCGAGCCCGGGAGACGAAGGGCCAAAGGCCGGCCTGATGAAGGTGCGCGTCGAGGTCGTCGTAGCCCTGCAGCTCCGGGTAGCGCTCCGGGATGATCCGTGGAGGAGCCACAACCCGTTTAGAGAAGAAGGTGAGGAAACGGGTGCGTTCCTCCTCGGAATCAAACCAAAGGTATGACCCGTCACCATAGTAGAGGCGTTCCTCAGTGGATGTCGTAGGCGCCCGGGATTTGGACTTTGATTTCCCGGAGGTGGCAGCCCTGCTCTTGTCCTTGCCCATGATAAGAAAACTCAAGAGAAAAGAGTAGAGATGATGAAATAAGCAAAGATGTTGAAGAGAATTGTGTTTGTGTGTGTAAAAGTGAAGAGAGGAGGTCCCAATTTATAGACAAAGAGGTCTCCAACGTCCAGATTTTCAAAAATATGGCTGTTGGATCAATTAATGCTCGTGCCAACGGATATTTTTTTTGAAAAATTTATTCAGAACAACGATGTTCAAAAGGCTACATCGTTGTTGGGACAGCGCTGTTGAGCCTCTAGACAGCGTTGTTATGCGTCAAGTTTTAAAAACAAGTGTTAAATGGACAACGATGTTGGGTTTCCTACAGCGATGTTCCAAATCATTCTGGAATTGTGTAAGGGGTTGAACCCATTAGAACAGCGCTGTTGGGTTTCTCTACATCGCTGTTTTACGATAAAAAAAAATTTGTAAAAGTGGACATCGATGTTGAAAGTGGGACATCGCTGTTTAAAAAGTTTCTGGTTTTGGTTGAAAACAAGGTGTTTTTGGGTGGACAACGATGTTTTAGGTTGGAACAGCGATGTTCAAAAAGTTTCTGGAAAGTGAAGAGTAAGGGACTCCCTGGGACAGCGCTGTTGGCGTGTTGTACAGCGCTGTTGGCACAAACTGGTTGACGGTGTTTCTCTCAACAGCGCTGTTTGGTCTCTTGGACAGCGCTGTTTGCATGGTTCCCCCTGATTTCATGAACGGGGTACCTGCAAAAAAGAAAAAAGTTCTCCGACGCTCAAGTTAGTAAGCGTTTAATAAGTTTAGATGCATAACTTAGATCATCGTGGAGTCAAGGATTCCGAGTTCACTTCGAATGCGGAAGAACGACTCTTTCTCTAAAGGTTTTGTGAAAATGTTGGCTAATTGGTTGTGTGTTTCAACAAACTCAATTTCGACATCACCTTTGAGAACATGATCTCTAATGAAATGATGCCTAATGTCAATGTGTTTCGTCCTTGAGTGAAGAACGGTGTTCTTCGTCAAGCTTATGGCGCTAGTATTATCACAACGAAGAGGGACGTGATTGATACTAAGGCCATAGTCCACGAGTTGTTGCTTCATCCAAAGAATTTGAGCACAACAACTACCGGCGGCTACATATTCCGCTTTGGTTGTGGATAACGCAACACTGACTTGCTTCTTACTAAACCATGAGACTAGAGAGCTACCAAGTAAGTGGCAAGTCCCACTCGTGCTTTTACGGTCCAATTTGCAACCGGAAAAGTCCAAGTCGGAATAGCCAACGAGATGACAAGAAGAGCCTTTCATAATCCGTTTTACCGCCGTTAAGTGCGATTCCTTCGGACACGATTGATACCTTGCGCAAAGGCAAACGCTAAACATGATATCCGGCCTACTAGCAGTAAGATAAAGAAGGGATCCGATCATACCTCGATACTTTTGACCTCTACTTCCTTACCTTTCTCGTCTTTGTCAAGATGATCAGACGTGCTCATCGGGGTCGCCATGGCTTTAGCGCTGTCCATTTCAAACCGTTTTAGGAGCTCCTTCCAGTATTTAGTTTGGCAAATGAACGTGCCATCTTTCATTTGCTTAACTTGGATTCCCAAAAAGAATGTGAGCTCGCCCATCATTGACATTTCAAATTCGCTAGTCATTAGCGTTGAGAATTCCTTGCACAAAGACTCGTTAGTAGCACCGAATATAATGTCGTCTACATAAACTTGAACCAAAAGGATGTTATTGTTTTTACTCTTGATGAAAAGTGTGGTGTCTACCTTTCCCCTTTGGAAACCACTATCCAAAAGAAATTTACTCAAACGTTCGTACCAAGCACGTGGTGCTTGTTTAAGACCGTAGAGCGCTTTCTTGAGTTTGAAGACGTGGTCGGGAAACTCAAAGTCCTCAAACCCCGGGGGCTGGTCAACATACACTTCCTCTTGAATAAAACCATTGAGGAAGGCACTCTTAACATCCATTTGATAGAGTTTAAAATCCATAGACGAAGCAAAAGCAAGAAGTAAACGGATAGCTTCTAAACGTGCTACAGGTGCATACGTTTCTTCAAAATCAATGCCTTCTTCTTTATTGTAGCCTTTAGCTACGAGCCTAGCTT